TTTTTTTTTTTGTACCTACTCGAGCCATAGACGCGTATCAAAATCAGATTGTTGGATTAAGCAGTCTACAACTTCCTGGTAGTAATAATTACTAGCAAACTTGTGAAACCATTGAATACCACCGATGCCAATCACATATACTTATCAAGTCAAGTAGGCTATGCTTACCCCAAAATTATTTTTGTTAAACGATGGTTAAAGACGCACACGACATCACTGGAATTTTTCCCGACAAATGTAACACATAATACATAATTATTTGAAGAGGTAGTGTCTAGGTCTCGGTAATATCTCATAAAAGAAACCTCCCGAAAAATTAAATTGTTCATTGGGATCAAATGGTTATCAACTTATACAATAGACTCAAATAAAAACAATTCAGTTTTCACTTACTGCAAACTTTTTATTACGAAATCCTTACATATATTACGCCAACCACTATCAATGGTTTAACCCTTTTGCTTTCGTTTGCAATAAAAAAAATAATATAAGAAACACAGTATTTATGTGTCTCGTATTATTGACGTGGAAATTATTTTCCAATGGTCAAGTCATAACCTAACAAAACTAACTTTCATATACCGTATAGACCTGCAATTTAAATATATTTTATTGTTCAGATTTCTAAATGAACACAGACTAGGTCTATCATTAATGACTGAATCTAATTATGTTCGTTAGGACTATTATATTACAATAATTGCATTACCGTGTGTCAACCAGAAACAAAGAAAGCAAACCATCAAAATAGCGATTTCATTGCCAGCTGAGTACGATGTAACCTCTCTATGTTTGTGTGTGTGTGGGGGTGTGTGTGTGTGTGTGTGTGTGTGCGTGCGTGTGTTTGTTTGTTTGTTTTCTCAAAACAAATAGGCCTAAACAAACAATCGAAAGAAAATTAAATAGAAAAGTTTTATTAAATGGGCATAATTTATTGTTACTGCTACAGCCTAGCGAGTGGAGTTGTTTTTAGTTATGTTGTTGTTGTGACAGGAATTGAATAGGACCCTGGGATTAGAAGGCAGCCATCTTAACCACTAAGTTATTCAACTCCACTCCATTTGAAACCTTAAGCAAACATTGCTTTTCACCTATCCAACGAGTTACTGCGTCTACAGTATATAAAAAAGTATATAGGCCAAGCCCTACCATTGGCGCAGCATACCAGTGCGTGGTGTTCCTACGATACTTGTGATTGGGCCACCTTGTGCACTACTCGTATCCTGTAGCGAATTCGTGCGCTAGACGCTCTTTACTGTCGCATTTGATCTCATAAACTCATGTCAGCTAATGACCTATTGAGCCCGTGGTCAAACCTGTTATAGTGAATTATTTTTGCTGTTTTCAGTTTTCAAGCCCTATAGAAAAATTGCGAGTTTTTAAAGATTCGGTGCTCACCATGTGAGTGCCGCGTAAATTATATATTGCACACTATTTCATATTTTCTGATGGGGATTTTTTATGTTATGATTTATTTAGTACGTTTCTGGAAAACTGCGAATTTTAAATTATTAAATAAACAGAATTTAATGTAATTTTATCATTCTCTGAAAGACTTGAGCTATACGACATAGGCCTATTAGTAGGCCTAGAAATTATGTGATGGGAGTTGAGTGGAGATAAAGGCATAAGCATGTTATGAAAATTTATTGCATGCAATCTGATAGTTATTGTAGTGAAGCTTATCGTCTTCTACTGGTATGGTAGGGCACTCCCAACTGCAATTGCTGATAAGAACCATTCCCCTTTTAAAACCGGTGCAACGCCCCCATTCCAATGAGTATGAAAGTGCTTCGACTTATTTTACCAACCGAACCGAAATCAAATAAATTGGTCGTATCATGGTCGTATATAGGGCTACCCTATGACGTAGCAGGAAATTACAAAAAAAAAAGTAGTAAACAATGAAGCAGAAATGCGTTAAGCACTGATAAATGGCACATCGATTTACTCGTGATATTTATTTAACATCCATATTAATGTATTCATTACCTTTAACACTAATGGTGAATATGCTCACGCTGGTAATGTTGTTATGCAATACGATCATATGTTAACTAGTGCATTAACTATATCTCGTAGTTAGATACAGTACTGTACTATGCAGTAAGCAGTAACAGCGGATTGATAGAACAATTTGCAAAACAAGCAGGACCCTTGGGAAAAATACTCTGCTTCCATATTATTCGCTAAGAGAGGCGGCCCTGGCTAACGTGACTGCGCATGCGTATGATTTGCAATTACATTTTGCTAAAAAGCACAAGCAGCAAGCTCTCGGAATCTTCACTGTACGGTACACGCCCTAAGAAATAATGGCAGACGAAACAAGTAATACCGCTGTGGAACAACAAAAAGAGGAATCTACCCCTGCCCCAGAGGTTCAAAAAGAAGTAGAAAAACCAGTTGAAAATGGGGAAAGTACGGAGGCAAAAGCTACAGAAGAAGAAAAGCCAGATGAGACAAAAACAGACGGTGAGGCTGCCGGTGCAGAAGGCGCGGACGATAAGCAAAACGAAACGCCGGCTGAAAACCCGTTAGAAGCACCAACAGAAAACCCAATTGGCGAAGAAGATTTCGAAAAATTGTTATCATACGCTGATGCGAATGAAGAGGGCTGGGAAAAAATGAAAAATAAGCACAAGGGCTTGACTCTTTATAAGCGAACGGACAAAACAGAAAAGAATGGAATGTCTTTGGTGAAGGTAAGTCATTAAACACGCAGTCTTATAATTGTTTAACGTACCGTATTGTACACACGTGAAATTTCTTCCTAAATGGTAATTTTTATAACTTAATTAGATGACGTCTGATTACACTAATGAAAGAAGAATGCTCTGTTTTTGTGGGGTTTTTTTATCCATCGCTCTACGCTTCACCGTAAATTATAATGGGTATATTTTTTTTACTCGAGACTGTTTATCATAACATTAACGGAAAGCAATGAAATTTCCTCAAAAAGTTAAATTACTTCGTTACAAGATTTTTTGTATATCGTTATCTCAATTTTATCCTAAATTTAGTGAATGCATTAAAGGAAAATTATGAAAAATATGTAAAGGATAGATTTCAATTTACAACTACTTATCGATAACTGGGATGGGCAATGCGATGATAGTCACGTGTTCCGCGCAGTAAGGTTGGCAACATTTCGCAATCGCCGCCTGGAAAATATACATTTGTCGTAGCTGTGAGTTGGGAATGGGTGGGGTCGACTCTACAATAAGGGGTTTTTCTCCCGTCAACATCTCGGATATAGATTGCATGTTTAGTTATGGTAAATTTTACGTCAAATGTTCACCAGTGTTGATTTATATGGTTTGTTATAATATGGGATGTACGGTATTTAAATTTTGAATATTCTACGGTAATAAGCATTAGATGCTAATGAAAGTCCGCATGGAATTCGAACAATATCGATCTTGCTTACATCTCCACTTCTTGATTACTCGATAGTTTCGTTCTACACAAAGAAAACTGGACTCAGGCGTGTAAAAGGCCGTTCGATGTGTTATTCTCGCCTCAATTGAATGCGTTATGCATAATATTTATGTAATGTGGGAATAAACTAATGTAACAGTAGGCCTATGCCTTTACCGGTCGGTAGTGACAAGATGGGGTTATTTCGTGAACCGAGCACGTGTAGTTATGCTGGTGTGTTATGTTGTTGGATTTACTGTAAGGACTGTCATCGGTAATCGTCGGAGCATGTAGTCCGCTATTGTAATTTAAAGCTAGTCGGTTCCCCAAGAATACAAACAGAAATTATTTTTTGAATGGGTGACGTTCTTCGTATTGAATAATAGCCTATTGTCCGAATTATCAATTATGAATAATGGAGTGGTGGGACTTGGTATTCGCGGCGTTTTCTCTTGTTTGTGCAATATGGGCATGCATTGGCGGATTCTATTGATATTTTATATTCCGTGAAATCGAAATAGGCTTGTAGACTGATTGATTGTGAACTCCATTAGTGACACGAACAAAGACATTTTGCTCGATCCGGGGTACGGCTGTATGTATATTTCCGGTTACTGAGTACAGGCTCTAGTCTAAAGACTCTCCTTTGTTCGCGAACTCCCCAGAGTATTACCTACTTTCTGACGGCTTTAACTCCGCTAATTTCATGTTCACGTCGTTCATTATTTTTCTCATTTTCTATTTAATCACTACACCTCACAGGTACAGGTCATTTTATTAATGAGGTCATCTTGTGAGACTTGTTTTCAAATTATGTACGGTGCCGTACTGGTCGACCAGCGTTTTTCACCATGTGGACGGTAACGAGTTGTTAATAGATACTCGCGTTGCAGACATGAATAAAGTCCACAGATTAGAGAGATGTCTACAGATTTAGGACCTACTTCCTTCCTCCGGTCTACGCCCTGTAACCCACGTGCCTCTGCGTAAGGTCGTAAAACGTCATCAAAAGTACATCTAGTACAGTAGTATCATTTTCATACCTCATACCTAGAATTTTATAGCTCCATGCTAGAACGAACTATGGATCCCGAATCCTCCCACACACCCACCCTTGCATGTTGTTCATTGATAACGAACCGAGTCGCTGTTTCTGATGATGGCACCCGAACGCTCATCACGTAGCCTCCGACCAGTGTCGATCATAATTATCATATAATTACGTATTGCCTGTATGGATTCAAACAGTTAATAACAGCCCTAAACTCCGTTAATATGAGGCCTAATAAATTATGGTGTGTGTATTTACCATAGCAGGGGTACTGGTGCTTAATGTTGTCACTGCTGTCTATGCTTTAGGTTACATATTATCATATCGCTCGTCCTTAATTATGCCGTTAGTAATTTAGACTTAATTAGCATGTATGTTAAGGTAATTATGCTTGTTCTCCAATTTGTTATTCGGCTTAATTCGGTTCAACAACAGGAAGCATGACATTCGCCTGAAATTTAAAGTCAGATGAAATTTAAACACTGGCGTTCTCTGGCTGATTTAATCATTTAAATTTTAAATGCAGGCCCTAATTTAAAAGTTGTTTACGAGACATTTAATATTAAATAAATATAGTCCTACTTAAATTATTAATAATTTAATTCATATTTTGAAATTCTCGCTTTTTAAATGAAAAAAAAAATGTTTCTTGTCCCTGGTCACTCAGCCTTTATGATTGAGAGGGGGAATTCAAAGCCCCTTGTAAGCAGTCGATAATTCGTGTGTGCCTAGCCAATGTAAAGGTCATCGAATGCGTGTAGCCTAATTGTTTTTGATTTTTTTTTAAACCAGATTTTTGGTTTTTATTTAGATAAAATATGGAAAGTAGCAAGTCAAGCAATTCTCAAAATACTCAAAAGTTTTAACCAACTACCTAAATGTCATGGGATCAATAACTATGAATTATTAAAATGAATAAATGAAGGCTGTAAGTAGATCGCTTCTGTGTCATAACATTTTCAAGACTCTGAACTTTTAAACAGCGAAGAAAACGCCCATAGAAAAACATGGACGAACGAATTACTACGATCGACGGTAAATCTGACAGCCAAGGTCACGTGCGACGTGCGACTTGGATGTCGGCTGTGAATTTCATTGCCAATAATTCCCCGTATCAATAGTTTTTTCATAACATTCTTGCCTAATCCAATAAGAATTTAAGATTTTTTGCGGCCGCGCTGTCACCCTTGGATATGTTGGACGCACTTCACGACCTGTGTGAAAACGTTCTTGTAAAAAAAAACCAAAAAAAACTGGGATTCAAATTAAGTAGGCTATTCCACAGTATGTATTGTATACTACAAACTGAATGCAGTATAATTACCACATCTCTGTCCTGCTCGTCGTTTTTACTGGTAACACCTGATGTCCGAAACTGTATCCCATGTCTACAGGTAGGCTACACCTACCTGCACGTATCCGCAAGTGTATTTATATCTTCCGGACCTGTTTCCGGATACTAGGCCTAATACTTGTCTTTATCAATAACAAACAGCGTTCATCCAGAACGCAGTTACGTCGTCATATAATAAACGTGTCTTTCGCGTGGATCCCCATGGTCCATCAATCGAAAAATAGAATGTTTGAAGTTAAAATACCAGACGAAACAATTAATAATTATTAATAATAATTAATTATTAATAATTAATTTTATTTAAAATCTTGATGCACTTTTTAAACGGCCTGATATGTTTAGGCCCAATAGCTTATCCATTCATTAATAACAGGCCTGTCCACTTTTAAATGTTCACATAGGTTGCGAACGCCAAATTTCAGGTCAAACATATTTTGGTAAAGTCTTTAACTTATTGAAAATCAGACGTTACTTATTAAAAAGCCTTTGAGCATGATGTGAGCATTCCAACGCATAGTTCTGCACAAGGTATTTAGTTTGGTAAGTCTGCCTAACGAATTATATAAGAAGAGATGTTTCATGCAAAATCGTTTTCACACGCATTTTCACATGACCTGGAAGCTGTGCCCGATTGAGTAGTGTCATGCTTCATAATGTGAACGTATATTATTATGAAATGATTTTAGCACTGTTGTAATAGGAACACGTGAATGATATTAACAACTTTCACATGATAATCACATACGTCTCATCTGAGAGAAATGCTGTGGTGTTAATTGTCGCATGATAAAAAACAGGGGTGAACGTAATGGGAAAATTTCGTTTACCATTACTTGCCAGGGGTGTATCCAGGATTTTTTCTGGGTGGGTCGTGATCATAATTTTTGGACCTTTTCACAATGAAATAACAGCAAGATGTGATTAAAATGTCAATACAATTTGCTTGAAGCGGATGGCAGGCTCAGATTCAGAATTGAGATAGATAGATAGGTCATGCAATTGGCAAGGTCTTTGGAGTCATTGCTGGTACCTCAATGCTTTTTCATTTATGTCATTGCCAAAAGACCCTAGAAAAACATGTCTTTGGAAAAAATTGTGGACCTTCCCGACCGCCCCTTGCATACACCCATGCTTGCCCTTTTTAGAGCAACACCAAGCAATTTCCAAGCACCTAATCTTAAATAGACCCTTGTTTTAATGGGCCATAAATATGGTACAAACAGCAAGCGAAATTGAAAAAGAATACGATAGAACACTGGTCCTTAAACTTTCTTTTAGTGCCTCACAATTAATTCTCTACGTTTAGGGTCACGATATTTTGTTCTAGGGCGTACGGTAATTAATGTTAATTACAAGAAAGATCACACTGATTCCCGGTATAGCTGGTACCGCTACCATTCGATTTATGAGGAAAATAAAAATATAATTTTCATAAAATGTCAATAGGCCTATCCTCATAGCCTACGGGAGGGCTTTATGGCTGCTGTGACCAAAAAATGACGTATTTCGGCATCTTTTTTTCTCCATAAATAGGCCTCATAAACATTTAAACCTAATAGCATGTTTTATGTAGTTTTTATGCCGTTGTTCATCTTTTCCTATGAATATCAATACCGTATACCGAGGGAGGTGGGCATTGATAATATGTCCTGCTAATTGTTATTATGAGCTAAAGTAACATTTCTGAAAATTAAATAAGTATTTTAATTTGCTTACCGTATATTAAGTAGGCCTATTATTAGCTTATTATATGGCTAAATCGATGATTACGGGGAAAATACAGGCTATTCCTGTCAATTTACACTTACAGAACCCAAAGGCCCGGCCGCCCCCTTTTCCCCAACTAATCAATGATTCGTACGAAGCACGAATGTGCGAAT